TTATTTTTATAGTAAAATTATTGTGCGTTTATATGGACAAGTGGGCTGGCCAGGTTGCCGAGATCTCACTTGAAAAGAGGTGAGATCTCACTTGAAAAGAGGTGAGATCTCGCTTACCGGGGTGGAAATTTCTCCATATAAACACTCACAAGCGGGCTAGCCCAGTTGCTGGGATGAAAGATACCGCCGCAAGCTATTTTTAACAACTGTCAAAACCAGCAAGCGGGATGAAATTTTCTCATATAAACACAAGAGAAATTCATCCCACCTGCCTGTCTCGCTAAGCAGGCCAGCCCGGCTTCCTGCATATAAACAGGCCCTTAGTTGAATTGCAGCACTTGGTCTGCCTGTGTGTTATAAACTTTTAAGTGTACCCTGGTTCTTTGCAAGGTAAAAGAAACAAGAGGTGAGAATGGAAAGCCTCTAGCTGATCATATCAATTGCAAATCCCACTTCCACACTTGAATAGGTTCAGAATTTGAATCTCGCATGTGATTGGCCATTTGTAAAAATATGTCAAACCTGTTTGGGAAATAAACACTACTGTGAGCTAATTATAGCTATCTATCTATTTAGCATGCCAAATAGGGCCGGGTCACCACAACAGCATATGCCAATTACTGTGAGCCCTTTTTACCCAACCCACCCTGTCAACTTTCCATGTGGGAGGAAACTGGAGTATCCGGGGAAAACCTGTGACGTTCGGCAGAGCGTTGTGGTTTATTCTTTTCACATGAGGACTGGGTTAGAGTCGCATTGAGAAAGTTCTCACTGACTTGAACCTGCGGCCTCAGAGGTGACAGGCAAGTGCACTAACCACTTGGCCACTGAAGCCCCAATTAAAAAGCCCCAAGCTATTATAGTAAACTCAACCAAGCATGAATATTAATACTCCCGCAGGTGAAAAGGTATTAAATTTCTCAGGAGATAAACATATCAACATTAATCAGTTTTGCAGGACATGTAATACATTCTTGGTTGAGTTTAATAGAATATTTTAATACAGGCTATAATTAGCTTACAGCAATGTTTATTTCCCAAGCCAGTTTGGCATATTTTTACAAATGGGCAATCACATGCGAAATTCAAATGCTGAACCTAATCAAGTGTGGAAGTGGGATTCGCAATGGACAGTGACCCTGGGCTGTACACAGCACAGGGGAGGGGGCGGCAGGAGGGGGAAACTGCCCTCCTAAAGAAAACTATATTTACAATTTTTAGAATGTCATTATTAATTATTCTTTGGATATTTGGAACTTTTTTCAACATATAAGCCTTACTGCCCCCTGGTGATACGGCCCTGATGTGACCAGAGGCTCTCCGTTCTCGCATCTTGTTTCTTTCGCCTCGCAAAGAGCCTCTGGAACCAGAGTACACTTAAAGTAACACACACACAGAGCAAATAATATAATGCTTTTAAGGCAGTGAATTGGTAGGGAAATCTTTCAATAATATCCTGTGATTATGGTGAACTATGTACCAATACCAGACAATATAAATCCCTGCCTGCTCAAATCCCAAAGTGTGGGGCAAACACCGAGACAAAACCAGATATTTACACACAGATATTTACAGATAGTGACAGTGCTGAGAAGTAAAAACTGCCTACTTCTGGGTTGGGGGAGGTAGTAACTAATTACATTGACTAGTATTGTACACTAAATAGTTATGGGGTGCCATGGCTGCCAGTTCTGTTGTCTTTAAAAGAGTTAAAGGACTGCTAATTCTAAACTGCAGTGATTCAAAACATTCAAACATGTTCTAGAGATTATAAGTAATATTTTAACTTTGGTACACACTCATATTTTGGAACAATTTCCAAGGACGTACTGACTATAAATGTATCAAGATCTGTAAATATAAAATAGAAATCTTCCTTTAAAATTTCCATCGATTTGCGATTTGCCTGCCTGCAAAAAGGTTAATCCACTTGGAACGTTTTCCGTGGTTGTGGACCTTCGTTCCACATCAAATGCATCCTGCCCAACATCAGTGATAGCCCAGTTTGTAAAGCAACGTTGAAGCTCCTGGAAAGACAGCAAATACTAACGCTGTTTGCTCCGGCGACTTGCTTTGAAGAGGACGAAAGCGACCAAGAAGTGAGGCAGCCGATGACGATTGACGACGAACCAGAAGACGAACAGAACGAAACCCTCGTGAACAGTTTATTAGCAAAAATATTAAGCCCTTCGCGAAGGTCTGTCAGCTATTAACTGTGGTCAGACAATCGCCATTTCGCCAACCGGGTACTTTTAATATACAGTAATGAGTCATGCGATATTGTACCTGTCAGTCCTGGATCGTTGTGACGCATTTCCGATGCGAAATGAGATCGATGAGATCAGATAGGTAATATTTAAAAACATGTCAGCTGTGGTGTGGGGAAAATAAGTTTAAACTGCCAAATCTACCAATTTTTTATGTGTGTGTAAAGATAGTGCAAGTGAGAGTCTGCTATTTTACGCGCGTCGAAACACTGTTATTCAAACATAAATATTTCGCGTTCTAGATCGAATTTTAAAAATCCCCCCGAGGAAATTAAAGAAGAAAGCATGCTTTAGCAGAATTTGTCAGTTTTGGCGAAAAAAGTTTAATATCGAATGTCAACGAGGGCGTAGAACAAGGTATTATTTTCTCACTCCTTTTGTTTACATGTTTCGAATTTCAGGCATTCTTATTGGTCAAGAACGCAAAATGTAAACAAACGCGCTGATTGGCTAACATTATTTGCCCTTGTTCTTCCTTCCACCATCGTGGTACTTCCTCTGTGGTCGGGGGGAAGTCTACGCAGTCTATAAGTCCGAATAAATTCGATTCCGCAAACGCAATATGGCGGGATATATGCATCAACATTTTAAAGTTTTTTATCAAGTTATTCATGTATTACGATATTAAAACGAGATCCAAAAAGCCTTGTCACTACAGATTGTTTCTAATAAATTTAATGTTGGTCAGACAAGCACGGTATGTTTACTACAAATTCAATATTTACCTTTAACTTTGCTTTTACTGTAAATCTATATTTTCGTGATCAGTTCATATTTTGTGAATGTGATTGTGTATTAAAATATTTCGCTTAAAATTCTGCGCGTATCGTTGGTTCAGTAGTTCTGTTGCCGGTTGTATATAAAAACAATTCAATTGAATACCGACAGTTCTTTGAGCTGTTGATATCATAGAGACCTTACTATAAGTATAACAGTATTTTAGTAAAGTTCGATAGTCATGTGATAGCTGTATAAAAGCTAACCAAGTACTTTTGATGTTTTGATGTCATTGTATAATTGAAATAGAATAGATAAGTGATCTGTATATATGGGAATATTAATTTTCAACCATACTTGGCAGTTGGGTTCTATTATTATGCTCAATTATTTTCACGGTGAATTATTAAATACTGGATATTACTGTATATGCCTGCTAAGCCCTGCTTATTAAATAAAGTACAGTAGTTGGTGGTATTTGATCAATACTGCTTTATGGTATTACATAGAATGTAGTAAATTAAAAACATGATAACATTTCAGATAATCAGGTTTACATACTTGTATGTTGAAGTCAGTTGCAATGCCTAACACATAGAATATAGTGAGCATTGTGAGTCTAAAGAATTTTGATTTACAATGTTCGTGTTTTAGTGATGTGAAACTGTGCTGGTTTTTATTGCAAAATAGGGTGAGTTTAGGCGAGTTAAGCAAAATTCTGTCAACTTCACATTGCGAGATAAGGCGAAATTGGGCGAGTTAATTAAGCAAAATTCGATCAATTTCTATTGCGAGATAGGGCGAGTTAAGGTCCCAGACTAGGCCTTATATATAAATATATTAACTTTATTTAAAGTAGAAGTCAGCAAGTCCGTTCTGTGCATCGGTCCTGCTCATAACAATGTGAGGACCCTCTAATGTGAACATTACCCAGGTTTCGAATTTTTCTGAACATAAACTCATATTCATTTTGAAGCATAGCGAACCAAAATGGTGTTAGATATTCAAACAATACATCATATTTTAGAAAATACAACAGTTCGAAATATAAACAAACGTTTGTTTGCATTACGGACTTGACTTCCACTTTAATTATATTATTATTCAGAAAGAGTCCGTGCACGCCAACACTTTCACCTAAATAATTGCGATACAGTGATTTCCGTTCAACACGTTTTTAATATTAAATCTTTCTTTGGCTAAAATTTCAAGAAAAAACCCATGGCCAGAAATGCAGGCCAAAATGGCTGCCAAGCATGCGCGTTTTAGCCATAATATAGAAATCCAATATGGCGTCTTAATATAAGATTAGAGTGGGAAATCATTGAAATTTGCATTTTAGATAACTTACGATCGAGAAATCCTTAATGTGCATATCCAAAACATCACTAATTTTATCGAACTTTTACCACTGATAATTTGAAGACAGCTCGAGCTGCCGAACTATATTCCCGAGAAACAATATTTTTACCTTAGTCTCCGTATAAGAAAGTGTGTGATTTTGCCATATTAGGTACTTTACAGTTCCAATTTCTGCTCGTTGTTGGCGGACATCGGCAGATGTGCATATCAGAGCTGGTTCGTATAGACTCTATCTTTATTTTGTTCACGTTTAAGAAGCTTAAAAACATACACTAGTATGTTCCCAACGCGATGAAATTCACCGATTTCGCAGACTGATCTTTGTCTACTTTGAAGGCAGAAAGACATCGTACTTCGCACAAAAACATCAAAATATCGTAGTAAACGTTTGCTTTCCTGTCCGACATTGCTTTCCTTTAACTGTTACTATGTTACCATGGGTTAGACCGCTTGTATTAGGAAGTTCGGGCTCAAAAACAATGGTTAAATTGCGGGATTTCGCCGGAATTTTCAATTTGCAACTTGAATTTACTAATTTAGCACTTATAAAACTATTGTAAGCTTTTGAAATTTGAACATTGATCAAGACTCGGCTGTGGTAAGGTCTATTATATTTTATAATTGTGCTTGGTTATAAATCTGATTGTATTTGCAATGTCGGATGTTCCGCCTTTGTGTCCTATGCATACTTATTTGCAATGGAAATTAGCTGTTGAAAGCCCTTCATTTACATATGCTGCCAGATCTACATCTAAAGATATATTGTTTGCTGTGGATATTCCTTTCCCACTACTGAGAGCCTGGTACAACCTAGTGGTGTTGAAAAAGCCCTTCCAAACATCATGCACCTGTGATCCTAAGAAAATAGGCATCAACTTGCCCTCAAATTCTCCCCAGTTTACTTATATCGAGTTGTTTGAATTTGCAATTCCTGGAAGTTCGTTTGGTCTTACATCTGATCAAGCTATGAGGTCAGAAATAAATAATTCCCTTCGGCTTATGGCAGCAAAGGTGTATGCTGAGTATGGCAAGAGTCGAGGTAGAAAGAGACAACAACTGGATTTAAAGACCAAGAAATTCCATATAATGGATGGACAAACAATTTCAATTACAAAACTCAAACAAGATAAGGCATTTGTTTGCGACGAGTTGGCAAAATGGAAGGAAAGCAACATTAATTTAGAGGTTGAAATTAAAAAGCTTTACCATGAAATGGAGATGGCCATCCAAGAAAAGAATGAAGTTATTGAAAACCTGCAGTCAAAAAATGAAGAACTATTGAAATATATTGACCTCCTTGAAAAATCTGAAAAAATGCAGCATCAGGGAAAAGATATTTAAGAAACGAAGAAAAAATCAAGGACTCTCAAAAATTTTTTGTCGCGGGCAGAAACTGCCTTATGGTTTGCGAAATCTTTTGGACTGGAATTAGAAAGCATGACCGTTAAAGAAATCAACTCTAATGTTAGACATAATTTAGTTGTGGACAACAGTAGAACCGATAGCACAGATAATGTTTCTGGATTTGACGCTCTCTCAGATGATGATAAGGGCAAGGTAGAAAAAGTTCTGTTTCTCCTGGACAAGTTCTGTGTGGGTGATGATTTTTATCACGAGATAACTATGTTGGTAGAAGGCTTGCCTAAGTCATATTTAGTTAAGCAAAGAAGAGACCAACTGAACAAAATGTGTCACATAACCTCAACACCTGGAGAAGAACATGGAGCCCAACTTCCATTCAAGGATTTACTAAAAAACAGGATAAAAAAATATACAATTGCTCACCCAAATGTTGTTAGAGACAATGAAACAATCAAAGTCAAAATTTCAGGAGATGGGGCTAACGTGACCAGGAGTTCAAATTTTATTTTGATGAGTTTTGCCATTTTGCAATCTACTGATGATGTTTTAGCAGCAAAGGGAAATCACACTATAGCTGTTGTAAAAGGAAAAGAGGACTATGATGTTTTAAAGCACTGTTTTAGAGATGTTTTCAATGACATAAATGACATGTTAAGAGAAAAAAATCTAGATCTGGGAGAAGATACAGTAAACTTAGAATTCTTTCTTGGCGGCGATTATAAATTTATATTACTTATGATGGGTCTTAGTGGAGCCACCTCAAATTATGCATGTGCTTGGTGCAAGATTCATAAGGACGAGAGGTGGAACATGTCTTATGATTTGAACCACTACAATTCACCAAATCTTCGGCGCACGTTAAAGGAAATGAATGAACTAGCAGGGAAAAAAACAAAACATTTCTGTTCTGTGAATATCCCCCTTATAAACATTATTTGGATCATGTGATATTAGATGAACTGCATTTGCTGTTAAGAATTATGGATGTCTAGATTCAAAATTTGGTCACTGAAGCAGTGCAATGGGACCAGGCCGACAACTGGAACAAGAGGAAGAAGGATCAAAAAAATATTCATTTAGATAATTTAAAAAGCACAATTAGACCTTGTGGGATCTCATTTGAAATTTGGGAAAATCTAATGCAGATGGCAAAGGATCGGGTCATTATGATTTTACAAGTCTTTTAGGGCCGGACAAGAAGAAATTATTGAAAGAACTCCCGGAAAAGCTTGAAGGTTTGATCCGCCGGGCGGCTGAAATTGAAACGAAAAGCCTTTGGATTAAGTTTTCTATCATTTATTCTATAGTAACTTGCAAAACACCTTCCGAAGAAATGATTAGAACCTACTTTTGTAAAGCACAAGAATGGATTAATCTTTTTGTTAAACTAGGAGACAAATGTGTTGGTTATACAAAAAGCAAGGTAACCCCCTACATGCATGCTATGGTTTACCATGTACCAACATTTCTAAAGACATACAAAACTGTAAAACTGTTTAGTGGTCAAGGCGTTGAGAAAAACAATGATGTCGCAAGGAGCATAGTCTTAAGAAAATCAAACAATTGGGATGCTGCTGCAGACGTGTTGAAACTCGAGTCAAGGCAATGCGACTTGCGAAAGCAAGAACGTGCAAAGAGAATGTACACCAAAAAAAATACCGAGTACTGGGAGCACCAGCTTCAAGAGGAAAGAAAGAAGAAGAGAAAAACATCTATATGACATGAACAATATATCTATGTGCTAAAAATAGAAGATACTGTCACAGAGTAATTACATACAAAGGTCTCACTTCAGGTTAATTCAGCATAAGGGTATTTTTCAAGTGCCCTAAAGAGAGGCCATCTCCCCCCT